AAATCATCAACACTTGGTAGTGTTAACATTACAGGAACAATAGAAATATCATCACAGCCAAGATCTTCAAGAATGATAAGATCATCACCAATCACTATTACTAGAATAATTTTCTTACCTTTAAAATTCTTTTCATTTTGGATTAGATTTTTTAAATGGTGCATCTTATTATGTTATAGTATTTTTCCAATGAAAAGTGATAATAGAAGAGAGAACACTTTAAGTGAAATTAGAGTATAATAAATTATTCAATAAACAATATTTATTTATTTATTTATTTTATTTTTTAATTTTAATTATTTATTATATATTAAATTTATTTAGATTTAAATTATTATATATCATATATATAAATTTAATAGTGATAGAAAAAAAAATCATTATTATTACTACCAACTATTACCACCACCATTAATAAAAAAGAATTTTTATGCAATGAAAATATCTCATAATCTTCAAGGGTGTTGTTACTCAATTTTAATATCCATTAATTTTTTATTACATACATTTATTTTGGAATAGAAATGAGCCCACTGCTTGCAGCCAGAGCCAAGCAGGAATCTAATATGACTCTTGTTGGAAATAATTATCCAGTGTTTAATTTGATTAATTTTGAACTCAGGTACTAAATATAAGAAGAATATATAAAATGACTGATAATGATTATACAGTTTATTATTTAAAATTGCAATATATAATAATAATAAAATGATTTATACTAATAAAAACAATTATTTACTAAATTGGATTATACATACATATTACAAAACACTATCTTCATGACTTTAATTTATTTCTGGTTAATGATCATTAAAATAAATTCAATTTCTAATATATATATTATATATCTTTTTTCCTGCACATGCTCTCTCTTACCTTGTTGAAGTATTTCTTAAATAACAATAAAAGTGAACTCCAATTCCCCAACCAAACCCTTGTATAAATGGAAAATTATTTGATGCTGAATTATTGTTAAAACAATTTCACTGACACTAATATTTTGAAAACCAAGTAGTGCATTGAAATTAATAATAGATCAGACATGATTATGTTTGAATATGATGATGATACTTTTTTGGTTTTTGAAGAAGAAGAATAAGAAGGCTCAACTTCATTATTAGTAATAAAAATTGGCGGTGGATCAATTTCATTTTCATCAACTTTTGTAATTATAGGTGTATATTCAACTCTATTGCTGTTATTATTATTATTATTATCATAATAAATTTCATCTTCATTTAATGGAGCAAGAATTTGTTCTATAGTCTCACCAGGAGCTGGCATGATTGGAACTTTACATTCATGTTCATCTTGATATGAAATTTCAGGTGTAGCTACTAATGAATTCATAACATCACTATTAGGATAAGACACTATACTGCCACTATCTTCTGATAATTGGGATGATTGAGATAAGAAAAATGTGTCAACATCAAGATCATCATCATCATGTATAACCAATGAATTATCTGAACCTAGTTCATTTGTGTGTATAGAGGATACTAAATAATTACCACTACTATCTGTTAAAGATCCATCATCATAATCATCATCATAATTTGAATGATTTATAAACAATAATGATTGATCATCCTGTTCTTCATTATTCTCAAAAGACTCGTTGTCATCATTGTTGTCATCATTATGAACAAATTGTGGTGACACATTATCATATTCTGGTTTTATTAATGATATTGTAGAGATTTCTTTATCACTAGTTCTACAATATCTTGTGTATTATTTAATGGTTCTTGTGAGCTACTTATATTATAATTGCTATTACTTGGAGGAGCGACAACAACTTTTTGAGATGAATTCCCATCCATTTAATGAAAATAGAATGAATATGTGTAAACTTAAAAGCAAAAGGTTGCATCATTTTACTCCCATTTATTGTCACATGATAACTTCCAAATTTGATCAATTTTATTTATTATCTTTCTTGTACAGTGCCGGTCACAAGTACACATCCAATAAAAATTGCCTTTCTAAGAAATGATATTCAGCAAAATAGAAAAAACATTTTGAAAAAATAACATCATCATTTTGTTTATTTTAAGTAAAGCTATCAACTGGCGATTAGATTTTGAATATTGGTTGCATCAAGCCTGAGTTATATCAGTTTAAAGTTTGGGTTAATTTACTATGTTTACTATATTTGGAAGACCAATTTGAAACATTGTACTGTCAGACTGAGCTCGTATATGAATAATTACTTAATTTGGAAAGATTTTTAAAACTTAGATACCTTAATTTGGAAATTGTTTTACTTAAATTAGAAAGATTTTCAAGTTTTCCAAAAATTGAAACACTTTGGATGTGTACTTGTGACCGGCACTATATATACATGCATGACTTTCCATAATAAATAACATAATAATAATAGGCTTGCCAATGTTGATTTATGTTTTATCTTTTTTATGGTAACTTTGATTAAAGTTTTTGTGAATGTGAAGAAAGTTTTACTATTAAATTCTAGTTGGTTTATGATTGTAATACAAAAATACAAAATGTTATTATATAATTTTTTTCCTTCCTAAAAACATCATTCTTGTATTTAAACAATTTCAAATTTCAATAGTCACCATCATCATCATCATCATCATCATCATCATCACCTTCTTCTTCAATGATATCAGAATCATAGACTTTGGGGATGGAAGTTCTAGGAGTAGTAGGAATAGATGATTTCCTATTATTATCATCATTATCATCATCCCTACTTTCCACAGTTTCATCAGTATAATAAACCCATTCAGAATATACATCTATTGGGTCACTTAATGCTAAGGGAAAGAATGATGATAATTATTATTATGATATTGAATTATTATTATGATATTTATAGTTTTATTATTATAGTATTTATAGTTATTATTATGATGTTTATATTTATGGTTTATTGTTGCTTGAAAAGCTGAATTGCATATTCTACCTGTCAAATAACCAACTTTTGCTTCTTTTTGCCTAAATTATAAAACAAAACAAATTAACTTATAACCAATTGGTTTTG